GTTGTACCTTCAAAATAACCTGTTTACTGGTCCAATACCTGAGAGTCTAAGTAACTGTTCCCAATTGGAATCTCTTGATCTTAGCGTTAATTACGTTAAAGGGAATTTACCATCTAGCCTCGGTCCTTGTTGAAGCTCAAGGATTTGTTGATTTGGTTGAATGAGCTTGAGGGGGAAATCCCATTGGAGTTGAGGTACTTGCAGTCTTTGGAAAGACTGCTTCTTGCTTTCAATGGCTTGTCAGGGTCAATCCCTGAAAGTCTCAGCAACTGTACTAATTTGAAATTCATTTCTTTGTTGGATAATTTGTTGAGTGGTGCTATACCAGCTTCATTAGGGCTCTTGTCTAATCTAAGTATTCTGGAGCTGGAAAAAACTCCCTCTCTGGGAGCATTCCTGTTGAGTTGGGAATTGCAGAAGCTTATTTTGGTTGGATATGAACACCAAATTTCTTGAATGGGTCTATTCCCCCTGCTCTGTTCAAACAATCTGGCAATATTGCAATATTACCTGTGAAGCAATTTAGGTTTATTTGGTATGATGGAAGTGAATATTGTCAAAGTACAAGTTTTTTCGAATTTGATGGATTACAGAGGATCGCCTGGACAGGATTTTAACCAGGAACCCCTGCAACAGTACTAAACATTACAAGTACAGTTTTCAATACCAATATTTCACCACAATGGATCCATGATTTTCCTTGACCTTTCATACAATAAGTTGGAAGGCAGTATTCCAAAGGAATTAGGTTCCATGCAGTATCTCAATATTCTGAATTTAGGGCATAATGATCTCTCTGGTCCAATACCTCAAGAACTTGGAGGCTTGGAGTATGTTGAAAGCCTTTATCTATCATACAACCGACTCAATGGCTCAATTCCACAAACTTTGACCAATCTCATATTTCTTACAGGTATTGATCTGTCTAATAACCAACTTTCTGGAGCGATACCTTGTGCAGCTCAATTTTTTATTAATTCCTGAAAAATCATTTGCCAATAATTCTGGCCTTTATGATTGCCATCATCCTCATTATGGCCAAGAATCAAGTCCAAGTTCAATTTCAAAGTCTAGTAGATCAAAGAAAAAGCATTACATCATTATAGGTTGTGGTGTAATTGGAGGGGTACTCATTTGGTTAGTAACTCAGTTACTCGTGATCAGACTTGCAGGGAAAGGAGAAATGGAAAATGATGGAGAAGAATGGAGTATGGTTTCATTTCAAAGATTGGGATTCAATAAATGGGATATTTTGGGTGGTTTGACGGATCAAAAATTTGGTTGGAAATGGAGGGTCAGGAAATGTATATAGAGTGATCACAAAGAAAGGCAAAAAAGTTGCTGTTAAAAGTATAAGGCATGAAAGAAACGAAGGCCACATTTTGGAGAAGCAGTTTATAGCAGAGGTTAAGATCCTTGGGGGAATTTGGCACAACAACATAGTGAAATTGTTATGCTGCATCAGAGGAAAGACTACAAAGCTTCTTGTGTATGAATACATGGACAAACAATGTGTTCACAAATGGTTGCATGGAAAGAAAAGAAGCTTAACTACTCAAGTCTTGCAGTGGGAGAGGAGGCTAAAAATTGCCATTGGAGCTTCACAAGGGCTTTGCTATATGCATCACAGTTGCAATCCACCCATTATTCATAGAGATATCAAGTCCAGTAACATACTCGTCGATTCTGACTTCAATGCCAAGATTGCAGACTTTGGACTGGCAAAGTTGATGGCAAGCGAAGGAGATCCAGAAACAGCATCTGCTATTGTGGGAACCTTTGGTTACATTGCCCCGGGTACATTTTTTTTTTATATCTTCATCACTTCAATTCCCACTTATTTTTATACTTGCATAGTCACATATATCATGAGAATGCAGAATATGGCAGTACAAGAAAAGTGGATGCGAAGAGCGACATCTACAGCTTTGGCGTAGTTCTCTTGGAATTGACAACTGGAAGAGAAGCCGTGCTTGCAAATGAGGATATGAACCTGGCACAATGGGCACACAAACACCAAAGAGAAGGGAACTCAGCTGCAGATGCCCTAGATGAGGAGATCAAGGACCCGCGTTATCTGGAGGCAATGATCGCTGTTTTCAAATTAGGCCTTGCATGCACTTTGAATTCCCCATCAAGCAGGCCGTCCATGAAAGATATTTCACAGATTCTTCAAAGATACAGCGAGAACACTCATCTGTCTTTAGAGAGCCAATAGACAATATAATATTTCCATTTTACTTTTGAATGCAAAATATTTTGCAATGGTTTGTTTAGTTTAATTTGACTATTGCACTCACATTGCAATTATGCTGGATCCTTCATAATTCATAATGCAACTCCACATTGTTTCCTTGATTTTCTTAGATGTTAAAGTGACAAATAAACTTTCTGGAGCGCAATAGTAACTGCATTGGAGTTCCAAAATTAATAATATTCACAGGAATTGAAACAGGGAAATTAACCATTGGAGGAATTAATGAAGCATGTTTACCTGTTCACATGCCTCGCTTGTGTCTTCAAGCTCGTACGATCAATTATATACACCATGATTGCATCAAGATATCAACTCTAGCAACATAGTCTTAAAGTCCCAGAGTCTGAATTCAATACTAAGATTGCAGGCTTTACAAAGTGACACAGTTTTAAAACTGTTTATAATTATGAATATAAGTTCAAAAATTATGAACATAGAATTGTGAACATAATTATGAACACATAGTTTTGCAATTATGACTATAAAGATTCAATAATTGTGAATATGAAGTTAAAAAATTATGAATATATAACTTTATAATTATGAACATATAGTTCAGTAATTGTGAACATAGAGTTGAATAATTATGAATATGAAATTCAAAAAATTCAAAAATATGAATATATAGCTTATAATTTATAAACATATAATTTAGTAATTATGAACATAGAACAGTGTCTACCTTAGCTTGCGTACCACAACATAACGATTAGTAATTTAGTAATTTGGCACAACAACATAGTGAAATTGTTATGCTGCATCAGAGGAAAGACTACAAAGCTTCTGTGTATGAATACATGACAAACAATGTGTTCACAAATGGTTGCATGGAAAGAAAAGAGGCTTAACTACTCAAGTCTTGCTGTGGGAGAGGAGGCTAAAAATTGCCATTGGAGCTTCACAAGGGCTTTGCTATATGCACCACAGTTGCAATCCACCCATTGTTCATAGAGATATCAAGTCCAGTAACATACTTGTCGACTCTGACTTCAATGCCAGATCGCAGACTTTGGACTGGCAAAGATGATGGTGAGGGAAGGAAGATCCAGAACAGCATCTGCTATTGTGGGAACCTTTGGTTACATTGCCCCGGGTACATTTTCATTTATATCTTCATCATTTCAATTCCCACTATTTTTTAAAACTTCCAGAATCACATATTTATCATGGGAATGCAGAATACAGCAGTACAAGAAAAGTGGGATGCGAAGAGCGACATTTACAGCTTTGGCGTAGTTCTCTTGGAATTGACAACGGGGAAGAGAAGCAGTGACTGGAAATGAGGATATGAACCTGGCACAATGGGCACACAAACACCAAAGAGAAGGAAAACCAGCTGCAGATGTCCTAGATGAGGAGATCAAGGACCTAAGTTATATGGAGGCAATGATCACTGTTTTCAAATTAGGCCTTGCGTGCACTTTGAGTTCCCATCAAGCAG